TTTTTAAAGTGAGAATTGGTAATGGAGAACAAATGGATGTGAAAGGTATGGGAACAATTGTAGTTAAAAGTCATTCGGGTATCAAATTAATTTTTGATGTTTATATGTTCCTGATATTAATCATAATTTGTTAAGTGTTGTTCAATTATTGGAGAAAAGTTATAAGGTGTCTTTTGAATACAAACTTTGTGTGATTAAAGATACAAATAACTTGGAAATATTCAAAGTTCACATGAAAGGAAAAAGTTTCACTTTAGATTTGATGAAAGAATAGTTGATTACAAACGAGGATATAAAAGAAAAGTAAAAGAAAAACCATGAAGAATATTTCTTGAAGGAACTTGATTAAGGAGAAAAATAAAGATGTAGATGAAGAAACCATTTCCAACGTTCATCAAAGAGTCAAAGGTATAATCATGAAGTTTGAAAGAAACAAAGGAGATGAAGTTGATAGGAAGAAATACTTTGATGAAAAAAGTTAAATTGAATGAAGATGTGATCTCGTACAAGAAGGAAGATGACAAGAAATACAAACAAAAAAGGAGTAAAAATTTTAAGCAAAATAAAAGGAAGAATATCAAATTCAAATAAATAGATATTAAAGTAAGGATGAATGTTGGGAATATTACTTTATTATCTTTTATTTAAATTAGATATTAAGAGATTTTATTATCTTTTAAGAGAGAAGGTAAAAAGATACTTGGGTTATTATTTTGATTTAGGCAATTATGGTTGAGATATTATTAATATTTAATATTTAGTAATGTTTTTACTCTATATATACATAGAGTACATGAATAAACAATTTATCCACATGATATATCAGAAATAAACATACACAAAACCCTAAAAATTCCCATCATGGAGCCTGCTTCAAATCGTATAGACTTTTTCTCAGTATACACACATAATCTTCCTTGTCTTCAACAATAAAACCATCAAGTTGTTCACGTAAATATTTTCCTCCAAATTACCATAAAGGAAAGTTATCTTCACGTCTATCTACTCAACCTCCAAATCAAGCGTAGCAGCTAAACTTAACACAACTCTGATGGATGATATTTTGACCATAGGTGAGAAAATCTCATTGAAATCAACACCCTTTTTTCTGTCTAAAGCCTTTTACCACTAATGTGACTTTGTACCTTGGAAATGTAGAATTAGCCTCTTGCTTCATCCTGAAAATCCACCTGTTCTCTAAAGCCCTTTTGCCCATAGACAATTTTACCAAGTCATAAGTGTGATTATCATGTAAAGATTTCATCTCATTTTGCATTTCATCAATGACTTTTATTTTTCTTCACTTTCCAAAGCTTCTTCAAAACACTAAAGTTCTCCACCATCAGTCAAAGTTACATATTCATCAGAAGAATACTTGGAAGATGGTTTTCTCAACCTATTGGACCTCCTGGTAGGGACTTGTGGTAATTTTGGTATATCATCATGTTCATCTTGAGCATCATCAATCAGAACCTCTACATCATCTCCAACTTGTTGATCATCAACATTACCATGTTGCTCATCGTTTTGAGCATCGTACTCAACATTATCTTTCTCGAGTGTAGTCTTCTGCACCTTATTGACATCTTCAAGGGTTTGATCTTCCATGACTTGCATATCACAACTTCTAACTAGCTTTTTCTCAATAGGATCATATAACTTGTAGCCAGACTCATCCTGACCATAACCTATAGCCAAACTTATCCTGACCATAACCAGTAAAGATGCACAACCCAATAAGCTTTATGTTGTATTTCTATAGGAAGATGACAAGTTTTACCATAAACAATTATAAATGGAGACATACCCAAAGGAGTTTTAAAAGTTGTCCTATGGGCCCACAAAACATAATCTAATTTAATACTCGAATCTTTCTTCAGTGGTTGAATAATTTTTTTCTAAAATTTTCTTAATACCTTTATTAGATATTTCACCTTAACCATTATTTTGAGGATGATAAACTGTAGATATTTTATGCATAACTCCATATTTTTTCAATAAACAATCAGAAAACCTATTACAAAAATGAGGGTCTTGATCACTAATTATGGCTCTTGGAATGTCAAACCTACAAAATATGTTAGTTTTCACAAAATTAACAACAACTTTAGAATCATTAGTCTTTGTGGCTTTAGCTTCAATTCATTTAGAAACATAATCAACAACTAATAAAATATAATTCAATCCAAAAGAAGGAGGAAAAGGTCCCATAAAATCAATATCCCATATATAAAAATTTTCATAAAATAAAATAGGTTGTTGTGGCATTTGATGCTTTCCTGATATGTTACCACCTACTTTTTTACAAATAACACAATTTTTAGTCCTTTGACGACCTAAATGCCCACCAATAGGGGAAGTGTGACAAAAATTTAAAACAAAATTAATCTTATCATTAGGAATACATCTTCTAATAATCTTATTATTGTAAAATTTTCATAAATAAGGATCATCCCAAATAAAATACTTAGCATCATTCTTTAACTTATCTCTTTGAGATTTTGAAAAATGTGGAGTAAAAATAGAATCAACAATATAATTAACAATATTTGCATACCAAGGTCTATAATTTAAATTAATAGTGTAAAGTTGCTCATAAGGAAAAGAATCACATATAACATAGTCCTTTGAGGACCTAAATGCGAACCAATAGGGAAATTATGACAAAAATTTTAAAAAATTTACATAAATAAGGATCATCCCAAATAAAATACTTAGCATCATTATTTGAGATTTTGAAAAATATGGAGGAAAAATAGAATCAACAATATAATTAACAATATCTACATACCAAGGTCTATAATTTAAATTAATACTGTAAAGTTGCTCATTAGAAAAAGAATCACGTATAACATAATTATCTAAATTATTTTCAATTCTGCTTAAATGATATGCAACAAGGTTTTGGGAACCACTTCTATCTTTAACAATTAAATCAAATTCTTGTAATAAAAGCATTCATCTAATTAATCTTGATTTAGAATAATTCTTTTTCAACAAATACTTAAGTGCAACATGATTAGTATAAACAATAACCTTAGACCTTGTCAAATAAGATCTAAATTTATTCGCAACAAAAGCGATAGCTAAGAGTTCCTTTCAGTAGTAGTATAATTTATTTGAGTAGAATCTAAAGTTTTTGAAGCATAAGGAACTTTATCAATTCTTTGTCCTAAAAGTACTCCTAAAGCATAATTAGGTGCATCACACATAATTTCAAGAGGAAGATTCCAATTAGGAGGTTTAATTATAGGTGTGGTGGTTAATGCTTTTTTCAAATAATCAAATGATTTTTTACACTTATCATCAAAATTAAATAAAATATCTTTATGCAATAATGAAGTTAAAGGAAGGACAATTTTACTAAAATCTTTAATAAATCTTCTATAAATACTAGAAAAATGATTAATAGTGATTGAAATTAGTGATCGAAAAATTCAGTCATCGATAGTAACTTGAATTAGTGACCGATTTCCCTTTTTATATTTAGTGACTAACATTTCGATCACGAAAATCGATCATCGATTCGATCATTATTAAAAAAATGGTTAATAGTGACCGAAAAATTCAAGTGTTAATAGTAGCTTGAATCGAGTGACTGATTTAGAAACTAAAATTTCAGTCACTAAACAATTAATCTCTAAATTGATGATTATTTTTTAATTATATAAATATTTTTTAAAATATTTTAATAATAAATATAAATCTACTTAATAATTTAAAATAATTGATAACATTTTTAATAACATTATAAAAATTAAAAAAAAAAGTTTACTAACTTATTAAATAATTTAGTAATATAATTATTTTATTTTATTTTTTAATTTAGCATGTGAATAAAAAAATTAAAATTGATTATTAAATTAGTTATCGAATCGATCACTGATTCGGTCATTAAATCTATTACTAAATCAATTATTAAATTAATTATTAATTTAGCCTCTTTTATATATATATATATATATATATATATATTTATTTATTACTTGTATGTTAATAAAAATGTATTTCAATATATTTATAAAAAAATTAAAATTATTGTAATTATTAAATTGATATTTTAAATTTATATTAATATATTGGATAAATTAATAGTTGGATAAATATTTTACGTTTATATTAATATTTTTATATAAAAGGGTAAATATTAAATAAACTTATTTTAAAATTTAATTAAACATAATAATATAATATAGTATTATTTATGTGAAGATTTAGTTAGAAATTAATTTTAAGTTTATCGTTTTTATTTAAAAAAAATTGTTAAAAAATTTCAAAATAATTAATTAAAGTAAATAATTTTAATTTAATAAATATGTTAATATTATAAGTTATTAGAGAATTAAATTTTTAAAAAAATATGATTTCTTTTAAGCTTTAAAAAAAACAAAAAATAAAAAGAAAAAAATATATGATAAAAAAAACATATATATAATTTCTCTTATTAATATTTTACACCTTCAAGAAAAAAAAGTAATAAATATTTTTTAACAATTTCCATTATATATATATATATATATATATATATATATATATTTATAGTATTGATCTTTTAAATAAATAGAAAAAAAGAAAAGGTTTTTACTTGGTTTGAGGCCGACCCATGATATGTTTTTGATCTAATTATTAGGTTTAAATGGAGGGGGGGACGACACACAGAGGGTAACTCTTCTCTGATTTCTTTTTCCTTTCTAATTTTCCAGCCACTCTCTCTTGCTTCCCATTTTTTACCTTAGCCCTAGCTCCATTTCCAATCGGCGCCTCCTTTACCTTTCCTCATCATTACTCCCTTTCGCAGAAGCCACCCCCATTGCACCCATCACCTCACTCTCCATCCACCCTCACCTCAACACCCATAACCCATGGATCCCCCGCGCCTCACCTCATGACCCATGACCCATGTATCCCCATTGCAGCCCACACCCAGCACCACCATAGTCCTCACCGGTGCCGGCTAGCACCCAAATCTTCCTCCCCTTTTTTTTATGCTTCACCTATAGTCACTGTGAACCACTGCTCGGGGCCACTATGGTCGCACCACCACCGGGCCACCGCGCCTGACCCCTCACCGCCACTAATCCTACACTATCGAACCAGCCGCGACATGGCCAGTCTCCTTGAGTTGTTGCAGTTTTGTCACCTCTCCCTAGCCAATTGAAGAGGAACTGCGAAGACAAAATTAGAAATATACAAATAAATATATTAAAGTTTCATTAAATTTTGGAGGGACCAAAATCATCGCGGTCCACGAGCCCCTCAACTCTAAAAAAATCGGATACTGCCACCATCGTACCCCAACCAAACCCACTTCTTCCCTCACCTGAACCCCCAAATCACCCTTCCACGCCTTCGCCTTTTCCACCCTTCCTTCCTCTCCATTGCAGACTCCACTCTCACGGTCTCCACCCTCAACCCTAGCACCGCGCGGCACAACCCCCATCGCGGCCCATACCCGTCAGCACCACCGTGAGCCACCGCACCTCACCAATTGGCCACTGCAAGCCAGATTCACGCCTAGTTACACCAAACACTCACCGGTTACCCTCAACGAAGTAGCGCACCACCGCGGAGCCCTGGCCACGACTAGCCCGACGCCGGCCACCGCGAATCATCCCAGTCTCGCTTTGTCGCACCACTGTTGACCGAAAAGGGGATGACCGAATGCCTCTCCCTGTGAATCGCCGGGCAACGTGAAGCCTGTGGAGGAGATCAAGTGTCTCTCAAGTTTGCTCCTCTCTGATTTCTGTCTTTGTCTGTTATATGTTTGTGCATCTATGTCTGGGATCATTTGTTTGCTCTCTCATTTCCTTCTTGGTCTTGTTTGAATGAGGAGTTGACAGGGATCTCAGGTGGAAATCGAAACCAGAGACATTATTTGAATGAGGAGTTGACAGTGATCTCAGGTGGAGATCAAAACTAGAGACATTATTGGCTACAAAGTTCATTTTCTTTGCATTCTGTTGTTTGTGATTTTACTTCTGTTTGATTGCTAGCATCTGTGGGGAAAATGTTGAGTTTATCGTTCTCGACTATTGATAGATTTGGGGTTATTTTTTTTTCTTATGGGCCGTTTTGGACTATTATTAAGGACTGTGGTCCTATTCGGACTATGTTGTTGTGATGCCAAATTATCATAAATTGCGGCAAGATGCACTTGTTCATAGTTGAGTTTGTTTGTTCATTCCTTATTTTGTTATTTTGTCGTGTAAATGTTTTGGTTTCTTATTTTAAATGTATTGTAATTATGGGGGAAATTACAAGCTTTGGGTGACTCTAAGAGTGTTTGGTTTGAATTGATTTCCTTTATCTATGCATGATCATGTGCTGAAGATGTCGGTTAACCGTGGTATAATTAAGATAGGGTTGCAGGATTGATCTAGGATTTTGGTTTGTTGTGCATTCTAGTTGTGGACTTTACTGATTTATATTGGATTACACTGATTGTATTATATAGATTGGACTGGATTATTGGATTGGTATGTGTTTTGAAATAGCAAAAACAATAAAAATACAAATTTTTTTAAAACCCAAAACAAAATTCAAAATTCTTTCAAAAATTTTATCAAAGAATTACATATCTCTGATTTTTTTCATTCTAAATGAGAATATGAAGGAGGAAGGTCAATCCTTGTCGGACAAAAAAAAAAACTAAAAATATTTTAGTTCATTATTTCTTTTTCTTTCTTTATTTTCTAATTTTTGGGGGAAATAAATATTTTTAAAATGACATTTACTCTCGTGCATTCAATTAAGGGTAATTTTCTTAAGACAGACGTTGTAAAGTGTTAATACCTTCCTTCCTGAATCCGAATATGGTTTTCATAAATTTTGTCTTATCTTTATGGTTTTTTCGTAATTTTCTAAAATAAACTATGGTGGTAATTCCAAAATCCTGATTTAGTTTATTTTAAATTTTTTTTGGTTGCAACGGATGCAAGGGTATTAGATATGGATCATCCTTGTTGAAAGAAAAGCATGCACATATATAAATATATCATGCACATGCACATACGGTCATTGATGGTCAGTACGTGGTGAACTATATTGTAAGAGTTGGCCATAGAACATGGGTATGAATGATGATATTAGAGTAGTTATTATGCAGAAAAAGCCAAGTGCATAGGCGAGTACATTAGTCCTTGCTCTAATCAAATACTTATTACATTTATATAAGAAAAAAAGTATAAATTTGTTTATGAACTAAAGATTAGTTTTATATAATTAAAGTACAAATTTTCGATATGTATTTATTTATTCTTTTTTGTTGAATGTTGTATTAATCATATTTGAGTTTTCAGGAAAAAAAAATAATGTAATTTAGTGAGGACAGAGAAGAAGAATTGATTTTATCATCAATTTTATTGTGCACAAGGAGTTTGATCAAACAACAAACGGGAGAAGATAGATTTGTAATCTTTTAAAATATAAATTGAATATTTGTTGTATTTACTTAATTTTATTTAATTTTAATATTTTTTATGTTTATTTTGAATTTTTAATATATAAAAGTGTAGTTATCAAGTGAAAATTTGTCTAATTTTAATAATATTTAAAGTAATTTTGATGTGATCTATTTATACTAAAAAATATATATATTTTTTAATATAATATAATAAGAGATTTATTTTTATATATATCTTAATATATATTTTAATATAATATAATATTAAAAAAGAAAAACTTAATGACTAAATATAATGATATTTTATTTTAAAAATAATTATTAATTTGGTCACTAATTCGATCACCGATTCGATTATCGATTCGATTATTGATTCGGTCAACTGATTAGGTTATTGATTCTGGTCATTAATTCGGTTATCGATTCGATTGCATCGACACTAATCAGTCACCAAGGAAATAGTGACCGATTTCAGTTGAGTCACTATTTCGGTCACTATTTTAATTAGTGACCGATTTTAGTCATTTAGTGACCGAATTTTCGATCATCGTTAGATGTTTTTCTTGTACTGCATGTCCAAGAAAAGATATCACCTCCTTAATAGAAGATGGATAAGATAAATTAAAAATAACATTTAATTTAGTAGGATCAACTTGAATTTCATCTCTATAAATAATATGTCCTAATACAATACCTTGTTCTACCATAAAATGACATTTTTATAATTCAAAACTAAATTATTTTCAACACATTTATTCAACACTTTATTTAAATTATCAAGACAATCATCAAAATAATTTCCATAAATAGATAAATCATCCATAAACACTTCAATACATTGTTCCAATAAAAAATAATAATAAACATATATATTTGAAAAGTACTTGGAGCATTACATAATCCAAAAGACATTTTTTTATAGGCAAAAGTACTAAAAGGACAAGTAAAAATAGTCTTAAATTGATCTTTAGATGCAATACATATTTAAAAATAACCAGAAAAACCATCAAGAAAACACTAAAGAGATATACATGTTAATCTTTCAAGCATTTGGTCAATAAAAGGAAGAGGAAAATGATATTTTCTAGCTTTTTCATTTTTAATAACAGTTAAACCAAATTATTTAGGAATAATATGTACACGACTAATCCATTCACTATCGAAATAGGATAATTATACATGTTTACAATAATTTAGTTATCTCTTTTTTTAATTACATCCAAAATTTATAGATTTACCTTCCTTTGGGATTATCTAAACATTATCATCCAATAAAATTCTATGCATACATAAAATAGGACTAATTCTAAGAATATCATCAAGAGTCCAACCAATTGCTTTTTTATTTTTCTTAATTATAGAAATTAATTTATTTTCTTGCTCAATATTTAACAAATTATAAATAATAACAGAAAAATAATTATTATCACCCAAGAATGCATATTTTAAATTAGAAGGTAAAGACTTTCCATTAGAAACGGAATATTCAATAATTTTAGGCTCTGGATTTTCAAAAATATTTTATGGATTTTCTATTTCTTTAATTTTCTTTTGATCTCTCGGCCCTAATTCGCTCAACGTTTTACTCATCCACTTAGCGCTTTCATGAGATTGAGATTCAAGGATTCAACTTTCGTTTAGCGCTTTTATAAAAATTTGCCACTGGAGTAAATCCGTTGAGAGGATTCAGCTTCTGCTCTGCGCTTTCATCTTGACAAGACACTGAGAATGGTTTTGCCATATTTTTGCTGAGCGGATCCAGCTTCCGTTCAACGCTTTCAGCACAATAAACATGATTTTCAAAATTTTCTTCATCAAACACAGTTCTAGAATCACAATTAAGAAGTTTTGGGATATGTTCAACAATGAATTCATCAATAATATCAATCCTAAACACAAAATAATCTTCACATGAATGTTTTAAGGTATCTAGGATATTAAACTTAACAATGTGTCACCAAACTCCATGGTCAAAGTACCAGCATAAACATCAATTTTAGTGTGTGCAATTTTTAAGAATGGTCTTCCCAGAATAAGAGGAGGTGAATCAAGTTCAGAGTCATTGAAAAAGTTACCTCCCATGTCCAAGATGTAGAAATCAGCAGGAAAGACAAGTTTGTTCACCTTCACCAAGACATCTTCAAGTAGACTAGCTGGTTAAACTGTGCTTATGTTTGTCAATTGAATTACCACACCAGTAGGTTGCATAGATCCAAGGCACAATGATGAATACATGGCTAAAGGCATAACATTAATTGAGGCTCCTAGATCTAACATTGCATGTTCAAACCTCTTGTTACCAATAACATAAAGAATAGTAAATACACTTGAATCTTTACATTTTCCAGGAATTAATACATTAGGTGTAGTAATCAATGCAAAAACATTTCTCCGTATATTTATCTTCTCATTACTCTTGAGCCTTCTTTTGTTGATGTAGAGATCCTTCAAGAATTTTGCATATTTTGACACTGGTTTGATAGCTTCAATTAGGGGAATATTAACTTCAACTTTCTCAAATAATTGCAGTAGCTCATTATCCAACTCCTCATTCTTTTTAACCTGTAAATTACCTCTAGATGAGGGAATGAGACTTGAATTTTGTGGCTACCAGCATCAGTATTGGTTGGAACTGCAATAGCTATTTTTGATGCATTTGAGGGTTTAGAATTGTTGTTTTGGTATGCTATTTTTTGCTTTTGTTGCTCAGCACTTGCTTCTTCATTTTCATCCACATTTGGACTGTTTGCAGCCACTAAACCAGCTTCAGTACTGGTATAACCTTGTGCTACATTTTCTGCATCAAACTTGTTTTGCAGTCAGTGGCGGATCTTCTTGGGAGTTGAGGGGGGCCGTGGCCCCCCCCAAAATTTTGTAACTCCTATGTAATTTATGATTTTGGCCCCCCAAACTTAATGAACATTTAATATATTTACTTGTATATTTACAATTCTATCCTCTCAGTCTCCTCCTCAGTTTTGTAACTCTCATATAATTTATGATTTTGTCCCCCTCAAACTTAATGATCATTTAATATATTTAAGTATATATCTACAATTTTATCCTTTCACCCTTTCATCTTCTTTCTTCCTTTTATATTTATTTATTATTTATTAATAATATATTATTTGACCTCCCCAAGATCAATGGTCAAGATTCGCCACTGTTTGCAGTTTTTCTATTTTAGCACTAGCAAGACCAACAACTTGCTCCTTCCTTGTTTTCTTACGAGGTTTCATTGATTACAGGTCTAACAAGCACTTTTCCTATTATAAAAGTCATAACACTCACATTTTTAGATTTACAACAATTTGGAAAGGCAAACTATCCAGAAACCTTGATTGCTGCTGATTCATGGTTGTGACAACCTAATAAAGCTTTCAACGTCGGTTCTAGAAGGCTTTCAACGTCGGTTGTTGAACCGACATTGTATCGAGCGACGTTGAAAGTCGTAACTTTCAACGTCGGTTCTAATAAACCGACGTTGAAAGTATGATTTTTTAAATTAATAATTTTTATTTATTTACAACCCCTTTACCCCTT